TGAAGACTGGCCATGAACCGGTGCCAAGGATCACATAAACAGTTTTCGGTGCTTCTTTATGATCGGCCTCGAATATTGGGGGGGGGGGGGGCATCACCCTCGGATAATGGTTTTAGAAAGGAAAGAAACTTTGTGCTCGAATAGTCTAAGCTCGGTCAATAGGATTTACTGTAAGGGCCAAACGGTCAAATGAACCGTGCCCACATAGACCAGAAATGAAAGGAAGTTTCTAACTTGCGGATATATATTTTGTCTCTTAAATTTTTTTGTAGTTTTCCTTCTTACATTTGGTCCCCTAAAGACATAGAACCCAAGGGCCACTTCATTCAGGGACTGTTGTCCAAAGCAGGCTCGGACGGCCCCGGATATCAAGACCCAAAGGCACAAAGCCTATCAGGCAGTGCCCAAACTTTAAAGGCTACGGTCATCCGCATTCGGAAACGGTTATCTTGGGTAAGACCGGATGACTCAGGGTAACAAGACCATTGGGAAACACCCGAACTAAAAAGTCTACGGCCGTCCTAAAATGGCTCGGAGATGTCCGAGACCCCTAACCAAAACATAAGGCCTTCAAAATTTCTAAACCAGTTCAAAAGGCTACCCTCGGCAAATTGTAATCTAAAATATTCTAAGTACTTTGGGAAAGCTTCCGGTCATACCGAGGCCCCCACGAGTCTTAAGCAAAATAATATCAAGAACGAGGCATGTTCAAACCTCCGAACAAGACCCATTTATTACGTGCTAAGGCATTCGATATCTTTGCAATCATAAAGAAAAGAGCAAAAAGAAACAAGCTAAAAATGTCGAAGGGAAAAAGACCTTATATATATATATATATACACACACACACACACACACACACACACACACAAAAACGGCCTCAACAAAAAATACAAAGGTGCAAAAACAAAGAAAAATCTACAAGGACATAAGCAACATGGTCTTCACCGGAGCCAGCTTCGCCATCAGGACCACCGGGGTCTTCTCCGCCCCCGGATCTGCCGAAAGCCTCAGAGTCTTCTTCATCCTCGGGATATGCCAACTTCTTGGCCTCGGCCTCGAGCCCCTTAGCACTTTCGATCTCAGCTGATAAATCAAAACCCCTAGCATGAACCTCCTCTAGGGCCTCCCTTCGGGATTGCCGCCTCTCATACTCAACAATGTCTTTCAAGTGGTCCAGGGCTGCCTCGGTATCAGCTCTATACTGGGCCACCATCTCGTCGGCATCGTCCTTGGTTATTTCAGCCATCGACTTGGCCGCTTTAAGTTCCTTGGCGAGGGTCTCCTGATTGGCAACAACCGAGCTCAGTTGAGACTGGAGCTCCTCAATTTTCTGGGACAGTCACTCAGCCTTCTCCTTCATCGCTCGAAGTTGAGCCTCTGCCAAAGCCAATTGCACCGGGCAATTTCCTTTTTTGAGGCCAAGCGGTCCATTTTGCCTTTTCACTCTTCGGCGTCGACCTTGATTACATCCATCTCGGCCCGAATCTGGTCGATCCTATCAATATTCTGTTGGACCTGCGGGTTCTGACTATTAGTCAACGTGTCTAGCTCATCGAATTTACCTGTTCCACTAGGTCGGCGTGTTCTTTCTGAGCCGCATCCAACTCGGCTCGAAGGCTCTTAGCCTCTCCTTAACGTTGCTCACTAAGAAGTTTGTACATGTCTCTCTTCTCAGCGAGCTCTTTGACTTCGGCCTCGAGTTGGCTCAGCTCATCTCGATACCGGAGGAAGGTCTCGTGGTGAAGTACCGAGGCCTGCAAATATGAGAAGAAATGTTAGGATCACCAATAACCAAAGCTAAAAGATGAAAAGGTTTGGTAACACCTTACCCGGTTCAGCGCCTGTTGTGCTTCGTTGAACAGGCATAGGGAATCCACCTCGTTCGTTTTTGCTTGGTCTCCTTCAGTTACCAGGCACCGGAGCTAACTAGCTACCCAAATGAGGGCGGAAAGAACCCGGGCATCCTCCGGAACGGTAATGATAATCGACCGCTTTCGACCAGGATCCCTACTCGGGGCAGGGAACCGGTTGACCATTCTTGGGCTCGAACTAAGCCCATCTTCCCCCGAGGATGAACATTTCCTCGGTACTTCTAAGTCACCTAATCCGGTGACGTCTTCCGTGGCGGTGGAGTCCACGCCATCAAAAATGCTTTGGAGGGGATCGTCCGCTCCATGGACCCCCTCATTCGATTGCTCCTTCGTCGCTTGAGCTTCACTAAGCATCAATTCCGTGAACGAAGGCGATCCCGTTATGTCAATGACACCGGGCGAGGAAGAACCATCATCTTGAAGGTTCTCGACCCTCACTGCTGCACCGGCCTCCTAAACTTGAGAGGAATTGGCCTCCGTTGTTTCCCCCTCGGCTGTCACCCGTTCCTCGGGCACAAATGACTCATGGGCCAAAAAAAGATCGTCCTCCTCGAGCTCGTCCCTGAGCTGTAGGAGTGAGTCCGAGTCGAGAACTCGGGAGCTGGTGCTCTCCTTTAGCTTACGCACCAGCCTTCTTCGCGTTTTCTTTTTCTCCGAGCTCGGGGAACTCGGAGTCCTTTTTTTTCTCTTCACTTCGGCCCGCCTCGGAGCAGGAGACTTAATAGGAAAGTCCTCGCCACCAACTAGAGGCTTAAGCTCGACGTCCTTAGGCAAACCTGTGAAAGAAAGTAAAGACAATAAGAACCTGATGTTAAAAGAAGAAGCCTGACACAACCTATTCAGGAAGGGAATCTTACCATGAGAACGGGCCTCCTAACGGCCCTTCGAAAGTTTGCGCCACATGCGCTCGGAGTAGGGCATCTGCGAAACGATACCTTTGACCCACTCCTTGATTCGAGGGACAACATTGGGGACTCGAGCAACGACTGCATCACCACGAGTACCGATAAGGAAAAGAGAAGTAAACATAAAATCAACAATTGAAGGGAAGTTCTACTTACGTGATGTATTCCACTTCTCGGGGAATAGCCTGCATTCAGCCGTAATCAAGTCCGACGTCCTCACTTGGATAAAACAGCCTTGCCAGCCTCAATCCCGGTCCTCATCAATACTTGAGAACGGGGCCTTGCTGGCCCGGCGCACCAGCTTTATCAGCCCGCCTCAGAATATTCGGGGACTGTACAAACGAAGTAAGTGATCCACAGTAAAATGGCATGATTCGACTTTGTCCACAAAAACCCGCAGGAGGATCACGATCCTCCACATGGAAGGATGAATATGAACGAGGCATACCTCGTACTCTTACAAAAATCTATGATGACCGGGTCCACTGGTCCCAATGTAAAGGGATAAGTATAAACACTCAGATATCCCTCTCATGGGTGGTAATGGCCTCCTTGGGGTCGGGGACCACTGTGTTTTTATCGTCCCAGTTGTAGTCTTTTCGGACAGTAGGGAGGACCTCTTCGGTAATCGAGCATATGTATCTCGAGACCTCCTCAAACAGACCCTGTACAGAGGAAGGCTTTTCAACTTCGAAAGCATCATTGACCGAGCATCCCCGGGGATGAACATTTTCAGGGGAGGTTTGGGTACTGGTTCATCAACAGCCAGGCCCGGAGCGGTCTCTTCGACCTCAGTGGCCGGCCGCGAAGTAGAAGGAACTTCTTTCTGGGGACGGTTTTGGAAGTCTTTGCCATTCTTTCAGAGAGTAAAAATGGAGGGAAAACTGGAAAAGATGAGGAAAGAAAGAAAGTGGAAGGATTGGACTTGTTGGCTTGAGAAGAAGATGGGTAATATTTTTTGCAAAGGACCTTGAATAACGGGGGTAAAAGTGCTAAAGAATATTAAAATCCTAGGGATACGAGGGTAGAAGGTTTGATGTAAAGTAAAAATGAACAAAGAAGGTGGTATTTATAGGAACTCGGCGACGTTTCACATTAAGGGATAGCCGACCGACGGCTGACATGCGTTTAATGCCATTATGACTTGATTGACGAGATGTTTCGGATGTTTTGTCATTTCTGTCACGACGTATTGAAGTAGGAATCAGGAGCTCATGTCGTTTCTCATCGTTTACTCTCCGAGAAACGAGGGGACTATCTCGTGATACACCCCAGTTTCTTGATAAGCCAAGCTCGAGACATGGTGGCAAGGGGCCGAAATCGAGGTGAAGTTCTCATCGAGACGGAGTTCAGGGGCGTAACGCATCCTAGAGAATATCGGGGTCATGATTCGGGGCCGGTCCGAGCTTTGAATAACTTCGAAGGATGTTGTCATGTAATCAAGCACGACCAACAGAAGGCCGTGATATCCGTGACCGGTCAGGTATCACGGCGGGGATCTCGGCATGTATCGATAGGGAACTGGCAATCAGTTAATTAGAAGATTTTTATCTTTTATAAGAATTGTACCTAGACTGAGACTCTCCTACTATATAAAGGGGGTCTGATGTTTCATAACACACGTTGTAACACGCATTCCAAGGCAATATATTATTATTTTTGTCTATCATTAGCTCTTATCTTGTTCATCAGTGCTGGTCATAGTGAGGCCGGATCGAGGGGAAAGATTTCACTAAGGCTAAAACTATCCTACGCGTGTGGTTTGAATTTATCTTTACTTGCTCAATCTAATCCACTTTACTGCTTTGTGTCAAATTAATCCACGTATCCTTAAAATCACTTATAAAATCAATTGTTATCCGATTTTGAGGGTAAACACACCACTCACTCATGCCAGTTTGACACAGTATTCTCATAGCATAAAACGAAGACTGGTTGACACAATGTCCACACGCAACCTAGCATGGACTTAGAAAAAAATTGCACAGATCACTTTTAGCCCTCAGCCGAAGCTATTTATATCTAATAGCCACAAAAGTATATAAAATTTGTATATTTTTTGTATATAACATACAAAAATGTACATATATACAAACAATATACAACAAAAATATAATTTTTAGGCTATTATTTTGAGAGCGGCTATACAATGTGTCATTTTCCCTAAAAAATTCTAAATCAAAATCCGGATACACGGTACTAACACTGATGATGCAGTGACTAATAACAGAAATATAAAAAGAGACTATTAGTTACCTGGATGAAGCCTGTAAATGTACAGATGGTTAATTCAAATGTACACTTTGCCAGATTTCTCAAAACACAAGATGACAGTTCCCTATACCTTTTACAAGGGGCCAATTTGCTACCCCTAATATTACAAAAAGAATATAATGTACCAATTGGAATAGATCAAACTCTCTTCCTGCAGTTCTTTGCAAATACCATTTTGTTTTTGCTTATTGGCAGAAAGTTCTGGGAATGAATATAATGAATTTAAGATGTTCAAGATGACCATTGATCAGGCACTGTGAGGAAATAGCTTGTCATCGCTTTTCTGAATCTTTTCTTGTATTGTTTCGGAGAAACAATAGTTGGCGATGCATTCTTCGGTCCACCAAGTATGCCGGATGCCTTAACCCATGTCTCCAAGTGTTTGTCCCAAGTATATTGCCTCATGAAATCTATGATCCCTACGACTAGCTCCTTGCGCTCTTCGTCCACACCAACTAACAAAGAGTAATCCATCACATCAACCGACTGCCAACAAGAGCAACGTTTATTAGTCATCGCACAAACTATCCACGTAAAGAAGAGAAAAGAGAATGTAAAATAAATTGATTGAATGAACTCAATGGAGCAGGTTTCAAGCACAAAGCATTTTACTTCAGCACTAATAAACAATTACAAACCAGCTAAAGGAACATGTTAAATCAAATATAGCGCCTTCCAGTCCAGCAAAAGTTTTGTCATATCGTAGTGTGACAACCTAAACAGAAGAGCCCTCTTAGCGAAACTTCCTACGAACCATACAACACTGTCAAACTACAACATTGCTATTATAGCGCATCATCTTTTAGTAGTATATCATACGTCTCCAGATACAAAGAGTGATTTAGATGAATTATGTACTGCATATTGCTGTGCAAATCAAACATCCTTGGTCAAAACAGAAACAGTTGGGTTCTCGGGTATGGCAACAGATAGATTGAAAATCAATACATTAATAGATATGCCATGTCCGCCCTGTAATAAGAAAAATCCTAATAGTCAACCTTCTTAATTTAACTTTGCACAGTTCAAATTTGCTACTAATAAATTTAATACTTTAGGTCTTGCTATTTCTCCTTCCTCCCTGCGGTTCAAAGCTCAATTCAGTAGGGTGTATAATGTCTACTGGATTTCCTACATTTGACTCGTAAGACATTTGCTCTTTGCTACCCTTCTCTCTTACAGCAAGGCCATATGCGTACATACACACAGACTCATATTTGCACATCCATTAGCAGGAAATATAACTGAAATAAGCAAACTGGTCTGCTTACCAAACCAAAGGAGACTAGTGTATCCCCCACTATTAAAATTTTTCTTTTTCAAAAAACAAAAAAAACGTACTATGCTTTTTAGGAGTCTTTTAGCCCTATTAGAGATTCTTATGCAATATGCAAATAGAAATATAGTGAAAATTTTGTATAATGTTCGGCTGGATGATAAAACGTGGAAACATGGTCAACGAGGATTCATATAACCAACCCAACTTGTTTGGGACAGAGGCACAGTAGTAGTAGTTGTTGTTATATATAAAAGAAATCTTGAGAAACAAATTTGGATGCTAAGCAGCTTACCGCCAAAAAGGATGTATCATTCCAAATAGCTCTCTCCAGGCTTCTTTTCGCTTTGCTTCCAAGAAATATAGGTTGGGTACGCAATGTTTCTAAAAGATTCATGTCCAATAACACTTTGTTTGCCCCAGTTTTGTCGGCATTGTAACGGGATCGTAGAGAACCTTTAAGATCATAGACCTTAGATATTGTTCTTCCAAAAAAGAGATTCTCCATCACAATCAGATCCATTTTTGTTTCCCTGCCTCCTTTCAATTGTTTAACTGAAACCTAGCATATACAACATAAATTAAAATAGGAATTCTGCAACAAGTTTGACATTTTCGAAAAAAAATAAAATGAGAGAAGTATATCTATTCACCACCAAACCAACTGCATATCATGAACAACAAGACAACAGAAAGAGAAACAAGGGAGTCCAACCTGATATATTCCCAGAACTTTAGCAAGGGAAGTTGGACTTCTTGAGCTAACAGAATCTGTTAGATATTTGAAGTAGTCGGGTCCAAAATCTTCAAAAGATTCTAACTCAGTTTTCTGGACTTGTTTAATTATGAATCTTTCGTCCAACGACTTAGCGAAATAAACATTGCTCTTTCCGCCTTGAGCAGTCCATCGCTTGCAACGGCTTATAGACCGTATAAAGTCCAGTTCATCAGGACAGTAGTTCTTCCTCAGCGCATCAAACTGCTTAGCAAAGTAACAAGTGACAGAAAACTTTACCTTTCCCCCGGCATTTGGAGATTCGTCCTCAAAAGAGATCCTTAGGTGAGGGGAAGTCTTGGAATCTGCAAAAAGGGAAGTAATAGTACCGGAAGCATCTTCGGAACCATAGCTTCCATAATTGATATAATCCATGTCTGAAGAGCCAAAAGACTGCCAAACATTAGAAGCCGCTCCATTCTCCTTGATGCCGTTTGTGTTCCAACCCGTTTCAGTCACATTTGGCTTATCGGTGACCCGGTCTTTATACTCTTTGGAACTAAGAGCATAAGATATTATGCTAGTAGGTTCATTGTCATAAACAGCTATTACTATGTCATTGTAGCCAACCATTAACCTGGCTCCATCATGTACAAGAGATGCATACGAAATAAACGAGGGTGACGAACTCATTAGGAGATTAACCTTCTGAGCCTCACCGGGTGACATTTGAGAATAAGTTCTCTGAACACAGGAAACAGGGTCTCTGATCATATTCCTATAGTCTCCAGAAGCATGAAAAGATCTAATTGCTGTTAAATGCAACGAAGAAGGCGGCAATCCCTTCTTGATTCTGTCTTGAAGTCTCAGGGCAGAGTCGAATGAGTTAACTCTTGCTGGTGATTTTAGCCTTGCAAAAGGAGGATAATCAAGTTGCCTGAAAGGAGCAGCTTCAGATCCATTCCGTTGTAATATCATATTTATCTGAGTTTTTTTGGGAGATCGATCAGTGCCAGTCCAAGCAGAATCTATCTTATCAGAAAGAACAGAAGCCGCTGAAGGAGCTCGTTCCAAGGATGTTTTATTAACTGCATTCTCTCCTTCCATCTGTGTGTCCTGTGTTTTCTCGAACTCACACGAGGTAAACATGGAGCCTTCCACCAGCCCATAAGGTGACTCATGAGTCTCCTCCTGTTCCGGATATTCCTCTAAGTTTGAGAAGTCAATTTCAGTCTCTTCATAGACATGCTCAAGAGGGTCATTCTTCAGAAACATATTGTTTCTCCAATCAGTCAGCTCGTTACAAGATCCAGAATCCTCTGAACCCACTGAACCAGAGCTCTCTTGGAGGAGGGACTCCACAGATAAAAGCCGACGATCCCAAACATGTGAAGAAATCACAAGGGAATGCCTCAAGCGATTAAGTTCAAGAATGTCAACCGCTATTTGCCCTTGTTCTGAAGTTTCTGCATCAGCAGTTTGAAGCAAGTCCTGTTGTAGAAACAAACAGAAGCAACTGGGATAAGGAAGAAGACCGCATTATCTTACATGCTTGAACACATAAATTTGCCATGAAAAGGAAAATGCGCGAGTATTAGACATTAATCTCTTGTTGGTACTTACATGGTAATCGCTCTTTTCTTTCACAAGTAAGTCTTTCAACTCCATGATGCAGTCATGCACTTCAGTTTTATCAGATGGTTCATGTTCTAAAGAGGAACTTTTCTCTTCAATCCTGCGAAAAGCACTGGATATCTCTGCATACAAGGCCTTGGCTTTGCACAATAGCTACAGGAAACATAAGATAGTATTATACATAGCTATTTAAAAGCTAACACTAAAAAAAAAAAAAAGGAACTAGAAAAATTCCAAACACGCAGCATCATTGCAAGATAATGGAAAATATTTTTGGAACTTATAGCACCTCAGCTGTTTCTTTCTGTAACCACTCCTGCTCTGTGTAGCTACTGAAATCAAGAGTTGATGGAGGTAAACGAACTGACAGAATATCAATAGGAGAATAGCGGAAGAATGCAATTGTACTACCACACCTGCACAGGCAAATGGAAAACTTTATTCTCTAAATAGCAGCACTGAAAATCAATAATTGAATGATCGGAGTGATTGCACATTACTGGCAGAAGACAAACTACGCACCCGTAAAACCGGAGGCAGTCCCTTTGGAGAGAATGACCACAGCTAGCAACACGGTTGGCAGTTGCATTGTTTGAAAAACTAAGTTCCAAAAACTTACCAAATGAGAGTCCCCAAGCAGCATCTGACATTACTACTCTAGGAGTTGCTGGTGGGATTCCCTCTATTTGTGCACACTTGAGACATCGATGCCACATCCATATCTTTTTGTCGCATTCACCAGGCAGCTTCACTGAGGGTAGCCGTCTAACATTTATAGTAAGGTTCCCTTGTTGGTGCGTATAACAAATGACGTGGTCCTCAGCTGGCTCCTTGCATGATTGACATGAAGATACCTGGAATATGAAGTGCAATACATAAATAGCTTGAAAGAACTAAAAATTGGACATAAGAAGATGAGCCCTAACAACTTTACCTGACCAAAAAGATCATCCTGAAGATATCTCCCGAGTGGCTTGTCAAAAGAGCCATAGAACTTTATGCGAAGAAGCCGAGATCGTTCACATACACTTCCATTTAGAACACATCGACTAGAAAATGATACTAATATGCTTTGATGACTGTCAGCAGCTGAATAGAATTCATTAGAGGGTTTAATTTCATCTGATCTCTCAAGCTTCGACAGCTGTGGCAATTCTCTTGGTTGACTCTCCAGTTGACCTAAAGTTACTTGTGATCTTTCACCGGTTTGATTTTTTGTTTCAACAGATTCAACAGGTCTTATATCATGTAAATTGTCAAGGCATGCAGTAGAGAGAAGATCTCTGTCTCTAGAATCATCTAGGGTGGGTGGTTCATTACAAGGAGGGTAATGATGCTCCAACGATGACGCTGGTAACCCAACATCGGCATTGCAGGCGGCAGATCCTACATTATCAGCAGTATGAGAAATCACTGAAATAGCATTGTCAGCAGATATCATCTCTGGTATGGCAATTGAGGGTGTTACAGACAATTTAGGTAGACTAGCACCCTCATCAGCAAGGAACGATGTTTCAAGGGACAGATGATATGCCGCAAAGACTGCATACTGGAAGACTTTCTTCACCTTCTTGAGCTCTTCACAACACAAACCCCTCAGCAAGACCTACAAAACATCAAATAAAAGGACAGTTAACATCTGATCCTTTATGACAATACATTACATTCTGGAGATCTTTTTTTTTTCCTTTGTTTAATCCTTTCTTTCTGAAAAAACTCTTTTTGGGCAGAAAAGACCATGATCCGCATCAATTCACTGAGTAACGAACAGGATGAAAATTCACTAAGCATTTTCAAAGTCAATACAGCATATTATGACTGGTACTTGATGATTAGCTTCAGCCTATCAAAGCACAAGCAACTTAGAAAGTTTTACTAGAGTGATAATTTACTATTGCAGATGGTGTACATTATAATTGACCGCTTCTATTTCACCAAGTTCTTGTAAAAAGTCCACTACTTGGAATTGAGAATGTACAGGTGACACAAAAGAAATAATCAGACACAGCCTAACATAAGTATTATATGATGAAAAAATGCCTAATGATATTAAAGTCAAAACGGAATGTAAGTATAGGTAATTTTCGAGGGGGTATGACGTAGGTCTGTTTTGTACAGAAGTATTAGTAGACCAAACAGGATGATGGGAGCAGATCATTTTGCTCAAGTTAATCATCTATGTATGGTTTTTTTCGGCTTATTCTGTCTTCTCTTTCCCTCTTTTCTCATTGCTCCCATGGAAAAAGCTTGCCTTTCCTTCAAGTAAAACTTACTTTCCATGATATAGCGGAGACCATATGTCAAGGTTTACCGTGAATATTAAGACCACTGATCTTTTCAGTTACGTCCTTTTTTATGATGCCCAAAATGACACCAAGCAAATAAGTATTTCACAGATGATTGTTGTGACAGCTCGCTCTTAGGAACATGAAATTGCAGAATTGGCATTATGACGTCCAGGGCCTTAATAATTTGTCTGTGAAATCAAATCACTGTTGAATTTGAGTGACAACTATAACAATTGCCAGAATTTCAGTGACAACTATAACAATTGCTATATATTATGGATGCGAAAGTTGTGGAAAGAAGGCATGTCATGCTCAGAGACTGGTGTAAAGCACTTCCAAATAAATTACATGACAAGCAGGTGAAATTAGAAACGTAGCCATTCAAGGAAACAGAAGAGTGGGTGACGGTATTCTGCATAATTAGCAGATACAAGTAATAAATAGAGAACACTGAAGAGCCGAGCCACAGAATTTCACAATTCTAGCACAAGGTACTATTTAAATCCAATGTACTTATGAGATATGGATGATATAAGTCTTAATTAGAGCTCAAATATTTAAAAGTTTCAGCACAAGAAGAACCAATGTTGGAGTCTGAGGCAGAAAAAATTACCGTGCAACCTAAACGCCTAGGACAACCATCAAAAAACATCAAAGTTTTTGATGGCTTCTTGTTGAAATGGTTTGGAGGTTCATGCTCTTCAGAAACTTTTTCTAAGTGAAAGAGCTCACAATATCCCAATCTTGCAGTGGCTATGTTATCGATGGACGGAGTAATAACAGCACCAGTGCACCTAGCTATCCGCTCCAGCAGTGGCCTCTTAACATTTAAAACCAAAGAGATCTCTTTTGCCAAAAGATGATCCTGAGCATGAGAAGATACACTTTTCTCCACAAGTAGCACATTAGGACGGTGGGCTTCGATTCTTGAAACGATCATCTTCAAATGCTCCCTTTCCTGTTAGGACAATACAAGTCATAAACTTGTCTCTAATTGCTCTTATCTCAATCATAGAAAGATAGACAAATCAACCAAAAACCTGTTGCAATAATGTGTTAAAAGATGCCAACTGATTGGGAACTCTTTGGTACTCTAGTGCTCCTCCTAATAGAAGCAATCTAGCATTTTTGTAGTGTGAAGTCATGCGCTTGTGTTTAATATTCTTTGTACAGACTACTCCTTTAACAAGGTTGCTGCATTGAAACAAAACTGAATGATGAGACATGAGTAAGCAAGCCTAAGACCCAAATGTTTAAAGAAAAGAAAGTATTTTACCTTTCCCTTGGGCTTCCAGAAGCTACACATTTAACCTTTACGTAATAACCAGGATCCATACTGCCTCCTTCACTGGTATCTGGCTTCACGAAATTCGCAGCTTGCCATGCTAGTGATGTAACTATGTCAACCCAATCATCGGCACTGCTTTCTTTCCCTGACTTTATTCCTTCACCTTGCAATAGCTGTAAGACAAGAGCCCTGAAATGCCCCTGTACAACCGCTTTTAAAGGTTCCTTGTGGTCTACATGCTCCTTCTCATTTTCAGGGAACACGGTGGTAAGGCTCGCACCTGAAGAAAACATTGCACCTGACTCTCCAATTTCATCATCCTCATCATCGTATGAGAAGAAATTATTTTCTGCCTCGTCATCTTCATCGGGTGGAGGAGGTAACCATATGAGACTGCCATTTCTAAGATCGACTGGCTTTTGCTTCCCTAACTGGTTCCGATACACTGACAAATTTTCAACACTATCATCAGCAGTCTGTTGTGGATCCTTTGCCCCTTTCTCAAGCCTTCTTAAAACATCCAAGGCTTCTTGATCAAAGGGACCATCATCATTTTGATCTTGCTGTACAGAATGCCCAACTCTATTGGAAGTAAAACGAATCCTAGAGGGGCTGTCTGATGGACTTGATCCAACTGACCTTGTATTGTTATATTCATGTCTAGTACTAACACTACTTGAATCTATATCTGAATTATCATGAAAATAGCTACTAGATGGGCTAAAAAATTGGTTTGTGCAATCCCCTCCTTCGTCTTCATCACTCCTGAAATTATTTTCAAAAGCAGCTTATAAATATAAATTTGACAGAACTCCACAACCAAATGAAACAAAAATGCCAGTATATTTCGATAGTTAAACAAAGAAAAAAATGTTTTGGTTAATGATCATAAAGTTAGATATGACAGTATGACACATCATAATATTTTCAGCGTCTAATACTTCAAGACAAGACAACTCTGGGTACTAATCCAATTCTAATATTGAGAAAACATATTAACGCCAGGCTCTAATACAACCAATGTTGGAATATGAATTATGCAGGATACAGAGGCGGATCCACGATTTAAATCATATGGGTTGAACTTTTGAAGTTTTTAGCGTTGAACCCATTATATATTTAAAGTCATGGGTTCGTATGTACTATTTTTTACAATTTTAATAAAGTTTTACATATAAATTTTTACTCCGTGTCGAAAGTTATGGGTTCAATTGAACCCGTCAACGATGCACTACATCCGCCTCTGGCAGGATATATGTGCTTCCATTTAATATGTTAAAGAATTTGAAAAGCACATTATCTTGATAACAAAGTAGTTGCAAAATAGAGGATATGATAACCTCATCCGGTACCTGCTTGGCGAGTGATGGAGAGATACTGGAGATGAATGATTTGAAAAGGTTGCAAAACCATTCTTGATTGCAAAATGGGAAGAATAATCATCAAATTTGTCAGTACCAAAATCTGAAGGATAAATTTTGTCACTAAAATTGTTTGCACCTTTATGCCAAGTCCTTAGATTAGAACACAACTTGCAAGACTTTATACCAATCACAGTCCCTTCTGATTCAGATGCAACAACAACATCATCTGAAGATTCATAATTGTGCATACAATCACCACAGAAGAGTCCATTGCAACTTTGGCAATTGTATTTTTTGCAAGAATCAGTGAACTTCAACTTGCATTCCCAACAGGTTTTGCCACTGTCAAAATCCATGTTGCATTTGCAATCTAACAAAGTTGGATCACTCGTTCGCCACGAAAACCAAGACTTAATTTTCTCAATCAAATCCAGTAATGAATTATCAGGTACTCCCATAGACTGGCAGTAACCCCACAATCAGAATAATCACCAATTCTGCCTCAATTTGATCAAAGTTTATAACTTTTCTCCTAATCTGTTAATTGGAAACACTATTAAACCCACAGTAAAAATGGTGGGTTTATTTCTTTTCCTTTCTGCAAGTTACATATAGAGAAAAAAGTTTCTCCCAGGAATTCACTAAATATTGGAAAGGGGGAAACAGATTACAGTAATTTAGATACACACCAAGTCTGGTATCTACAACTATTAATTATAAGATCTAAACAAATAAGGAAATGAAATTAAAGTTTGTTTGACCAAATTTCTAGAACTCAAGACTAAAACAACCAGCTCAACCAATACCAGAATCTTCTACATTTGTTCCCAAGACTGAATTTTTCATTACAAGCAACACAAAATTTCCAGATTTAGTTAATCAAACAGTTAAACAAAAGAATCCCAGATCAAGAAAACACAAGAAAAGGAAGTGGGGGTGTATAAAAAGTTGAATTCTTGGTATAGAGATGAATTGTAAATGGTTTAAAGAAGAAAGAGTAGAAGAATGAAAAGGAGGAAAAGGAAGAGTATTAAGGAGAAGGTTCCTTTACTACTAATGGCTCGTATCTCCATGAACATAATAACCATAATCTGCTGCCTCTTCTTCTTCAACAATAATAATATTTTCTCTCTCTCTTTACCATATTTCTTGGCATAGTTTTTGCTTTCATTTTCACTTCTCAAACTACATTAAAATAATCTACCAAGTATAGTATACACTTAGTACAACATGCAGCTTAACAAATAACAATTCACATGCATACACAATTATATACAACATAGTACTAAGTCTTGGCGTAATCGATAGAGATGCTGTCATGTGATCACTAGGTTATTTGAACCGTGTAAATAACTTCTTACAGATAAACTGCGTATAATAAACCCTTATGGTCCGGACCTTCTCGAACCCGTACACGAAAGCTTAGTATACTAGGTTGCCCTTCTTCGATTCTCTCTAGCTTTACTTTCAATCACTATCCACTTTATCTTTCTTATAGTTTATTATGTCAAGAAAATGACACCCTTTTCAACTTGTTCTATATTCTTTTCTCTTTTCTTGGTTATTTGACTGTTTTCTGTTTGGTTAGCATTATATAATTGTTTTATTTTCTTGGTTATGAAACTCCTCTTAACCAGTTGTGTCTATTCTTTTCTCAGTCATTGGTTAGCTTCGGATTTATTAAGCTATAATTAAAAATTATTTTTTCCTCTGAAATTCTATAAAGGGTATTCAAATTCTTGAGCTGCTATTGGTCAGAAACAGCGTATGGAATTAAGTATTTTGTCTGCTCCAGTCAGCTGCAGTACGCAACTTGTAAAAGATTTTGGCTTTTTTTAAAAATATTTTATGTTGGAATATTGTCACCATCTCATTCTCCTTGCGTGTTGCCACGAGTGAATTCTTTTTCTTTTTTCTCTAATGGAGATTAGGCTGGTAATTTTTTCTTTCTAGGTGCTAGACTAGTAGAGAAAAAAAGTACACAGTCACACCTTTCTATAACAGCATCCCTATATAGTAGTAGTTATTTACTATAGAAATCGAGTTTTTTCGGAGCCGAATATTATATTATGTTATAATATATGTCCTCTATTACAGCACTTTACTATAGCAGCAAATAAATTTCGAAACAAACGAGGTTGTCATAGAGAGGTTTGACTGTAGTCAAATCACTTAATGGAGTTAAAATTTAAAGTTTATGAGTTTGGAGTTCTAACAATTTTTATTTGTAATTTGTACATACTTTGTGTTGAATGAATTTCTCAAGATAAATATAAGGTTTGAACTAAAGTGATCGGGTTCAGCCGATCCCGTACCGTCAAAGCTACCTAACTCTCATACCAAGCAGGGGGCGTATGTATAACTATACCGACGGGTTCAATTGAACTCATAATGTGGAGCATAAATCTACGTGTAGTTATTGAAATCGTAATAAATAGTAGATATAAACTCATAACTTTAAAAATATAATGAATTCAATTCTAAAAACCTTAAAAATTCTGCATCCGCCTCTCATAGCCACCTTTAAAATCTTTTGTTTCAAAACTAAAAATTATGATAAAATACACATTTAATGTATCTTAACATCATAATTTAGTTCATTTGTTTGTAAATATTTTCCTGCGGTAATAAAATTTCTAATTGCCTACCCCAAAAAAAAATAATTATAATTCAGTTTAAGTGTGGCTTATAACATCATAATAATGTGGCTTTCACATGAATACTTAATACACATTTAATGTAGATGGCATACTCGAATTTCCACATAAGCTCTCGAGGCATTGGACTATATGGAACTTAGTTCGAGTGATTTGGTGATGGGAAAAATAGTTCGAGGGAGTTTGTTGGGTTTATGAACAATAGTCTTTTACGTTGATAAATAAAAAAGAAAAGGAAGCTACATATAAATTTTAAAGATATGTTTGATGTTGTGAGACTTTGTTTAAGCAAATCATACAAGCTTGACTCAAAGCGAATAATCTTAATGCACAAATAACTAAAATTTATAATTTTTTAAACTCTAGCCGCCTCAAAATTAATTTTAAACATGCCTAACTTCTTTGCCAAGGTCTAAAGTTTAAACTGTTATAGCTTTCCAAGTTTGATTTTCTTGAATGCTGTATATATAATTATTTTATCTATGGTATTGGATGCACAAATACTTCAGAAACACATCAAAGATCTATTTGTAAATCATATAAGTGTTCGAGTGGAGTTGCAAATAAAAAGAAACATTTGACGTTGCATCAAATATGAGAAATTTTATTTTGTGTCTCACATTTCACGTCATACTTATATGAGGCCCTTAATTATATGTATCTGGCCTTGATATCACATATATTAACATAATCGATATCGAGTTAACTCTTGACCCATATTGAAAAGTCTTAATTGTTCGGTTTGTTATTATCTCATTGATGAGGGTTCGATTCCTAACTGGTAAGCTCCTCTCTTATTTTCCCATAGTATAATCTTTTTTTAAAGAAACAAATAAAGCTAATAGCACTATCCAAAATAATGTGAAAATATTAAAGTCTATATACTTAACCAACATGACATTTTAATAAAAATATGTGAAAATCGAATCAAAGAAAGACTTGACTGTTATAAATAGAATTGTATTTAAGGTGAATGTCTATATTTTAGGGTTTGTTAATTGGTGGCTAAGTCACTTTTCCCCAGTAAATAGAGGGGTTCTATTCCATTGTAATTGATCCCAAATTCAATAAGAATTCTCTCTCTCTCTCTCTCTCTCTCTCTCTCTCTCTCTCTCTCTCTCTCTATATATATATATATATATATATATATATATATATATATATATATATATATATATATATATATATATATATATAT